TTAAATAATCTATTTGTTGTGAATTCTTGTAAATTCTATTTCTATCAAAATTGACGCTCTTCATGAATTATTGTTTTAATAGCGCTGAAAATGATCCAATGTGAAATCATATTGAAACATTTGAAACGTTCGCTTGAAGTTATGTGTATTCATATCTATAATTAGATTGAATAAATATTTTTATGTACAACGTAATGCGAGGTTTTTATGCTTCTTCTTTTTTTCCTTTTAACATTGAAATATTTAACTGTTTTAATTAATTTAATAAAAATATTTGAATTTAAACTAAATAAATAGTAAGTTCTACCATTAATGTTTAATTTGTAAACAATATACATTCACGGTACTTCTATAATTGGTGTTACTCGTGTATATATTTGTTGATGCATTGTTTCCATTCGCTTTATCACACATTAACAATTTGGTAAATCACACGAATTAAAATGCAAGCTGATTAAAAAAAAGTATCTGGTTTATGAATACATATAGAACAAGATACGATTTTTCAGGTTTTTCCCTTTGAATCGGAAAAATAACAATACGCTAGGATTACCGCGAAAATTTTCAACTCGTATTTTCGTTCGCTCGAAATCATTTATGAAAATCCATCGTGCACTGTTGGCACGACAAAGCAAAATTCATTTATAATTTTAATACGGCTCTACACAATATAGTTGCGCGCGTTCACCATTCATTAATCCGTCATTATTAATTCAATTGGGCGACACAGAGCGATTTTATTTTACATAAGTACCTTATACAAGAAATTGAAAATAGCTGCGCAATAATAGAATATATTTAGCTGTGTTATCTGAAACAGCAGAATTTGATTGTGTGTGCGTGTATAAAGGCCAAAATCGATGTTTTACGCACATTAAAATTAGGACAGAGAAAAAGAGAAAGAGAGAAAGATATGAAGCCAAAATAAATATTATAAATGGATAAATGTATAAATCTTATACATACATACACATATATACATGAAGATTTCCGTGGGGTATTTTTTCCTCGGTCCAAATTGTCCGGAATATTATCCATATATTGAACATGTAAATATTATACATTATTTTTAAAAATATGAATTAAAATTATGATATTCTTGATATTTTAATAAAATTCTTCAATATTATAAGGTATTATTTTTCAATTGATTAAAATCATAATTTAATATTAAAAGACATTTTGAAATCGGGGTCTTTTATCTTTTATTTTATTTATATTATTTTCAATTCGGAATAATTAAACAAATAACATACTAGCGTAGCAATTTTTTAAACACGCTGTTATATGAGAGAAAAAACATTATTTTACAAGAACATTTTTATTTTTTGATTTAGAAGTAATCAGTTATTTGCAACATAAAATTATTTTCGTTGATGTTCGTTACTTTATCATTTTGCTGCAATGTTTATCTAAATATTGTCAACCATAAAATTTTCTCAACCATATCTATTATGCCTTTGGCTTCTTCCGGTTGATGACTTTGTTTTTTTGAATGCTTATCCTCAGATCTTCATGAGTAACATAAAAGCAAGCGAAAGTAGTCGTATTAAAATATCTCCACGGAGTATCTAGCTGTTGTCTGAAGTTTTTCGAGAAGAAATCCAGAATTTCTTTTGCTTATGCAGAATATTATTTATACAAAAGTTACAAGTATTGTATTGTTAAAAAGTTGTGTTGATTATAGAAAATAGATACAATTGCTGTACCTGAATGTACAAAGTAACGTTATAAGATGTACGCTATACGGACAATTATGAAAGTAACTGAAATTTCTGACATGAAAGAAGTAATAAGTTTCAAACGCGCATCGACATCTCGGGAAACTTTGTTAATTAATCTCCGTCTAATACATATAATGTCGTGTTTCAATTCTTACGGCGCCATATTGTCGAACATGTGCGCTTTCTGACGTTTTACGTCGATCCTTCACCATTTCTTCGTGAAATTAGATTAAGCGAGACATTAAAATGAATAAATTATGTAAAAATAAAGAATAATAGCGTTTAAAATTTTCTAAGCAATTGTGTCTTTGTCTGTATCGACAATTACATTTCGACGGTTTTTTTAAACTTTTATATATACATCACTTTTTATTATTTATTATCAGCTGCATTAATTTTTTAATCAATTATAAATCGTCCGGAATATTATCCATATATTATAGACATGTAAATATTATATATTTTCTTTAAAAGTATGAATTAAAATTATAATATTCTTCATATTTCAATAAAATTTTGCAATATTATTTTTCAATTTATTAAAATCATAATTTAATATTAGGCGTTATGAAATTGGGATATTTGATTATTTATTTTCTTTTATTTATGTCAGTTTTAATTCGAAATAATCGAACAACATATTAGAGTAGCCATTTTTTAAACACGTTGCGATATAAGAGAAAAAAAGATTTTACAAGAACATTTTTATTTTTTTATCTAGAAATAATCAGTTATTTGTATATTAAAACTATTTACTTTGCAGTTTGTTACTTTATTATTTTGGCGTGATACTTATCTAAATATTGTTAATTATAAAATTCACGTTTTTCTGCAAAATTACAATTAATTTTGATTGTCATGGTGAAGTTTCTTCAAGGATCAAAGTACTGCGGCGTCGCCGAAAAATTTTTATCGTCGAAAAATTGACTCTTCCGCCTGGCCATACGTTGATGTAGTTCACTGTGTTGAGTTTGTCGGGACTATTCGTTCTGCGATACATGCCAACCCTTGTTTGTTGGTCGGACAACTAGTGGCTGAGAGAAACGAAGTTTACGCTGCAACATGCAGACCTATAACATTAAAGGGGCGCGTCCGTTTAATATTGCGAAGGAACGTTAGTTTACTTTTTTAATTATCAACACAATTATGTTTTCACTCGCATTTTTAGGCAAACACTAGAATAATTGTGAAAGTGTAATATGTAGAGCGTACGCGAAGTGACTTTCTATATGCGAATGAAATAATAAAATACTTTTAATCAGAGAAAACGGGACTGAGGCAGTATAAACGGTCACTTTTATCATTTATCATATTTAAACTCATTCTCTCAATGAGAGAACGCCACGCCATTTTTTCGCTTTGCAGTTTCCGCTTAAATATACATGAAAGCTATATGTGTGCACCCCTTGTCATTTCTCTGTTTCTCCGCTATTTCCTCAGAAAAAGCTCAGCTCGTCAAAATTCAAACAGAACTGCTCTTTAAATACCGGAAATTAATTGTCGTCGCTGCATTATTGATCGCGAACGCTGGACAATTGAAGAAAAATTGTCGCGCTGTTATGTTATTTTCTCGCGATTATTTTTTCGTTTCTTCAACCACTATTTTCCACATTTTCTTGTCTACCTCTTTCCTGTCCTTTCCTTCGCTTCCTTCCTCGTCTCTTTCGTTGTCTCTTTCCCTACCTCTTTCTGCTTTTCTCCTCGATAACGATAAAAATATTTCTTACTTACGGTCTATCGCGACCTAACTCAACGCTTCTTATTCCGAGGATTTTTACGATGCCAGTCTCGCCAAGATTGATGAAACTGTCGGTTCGCGAAAATCGATTTTCGAGAAAGACGAGCTCTCGTATCCGAAATTTACTCGTTCCTCGCTTCCTCTCTCCTTTTCTCTCCTTCTCTTTCCGCATCTTTCTCTGGCTTCCATCGTTTTCGTATAGGAAACTGCACGCCTGCCTTTCCTGCGAGGGAAAGGCGTACAAAGGCGGACGAGCGATGTGGAAGCAATTAATCAATCATCATTCTCGAACAAGTTCCATTTTTGCGCGATTTAACGGAGAACAGCGTTACAATCATTTCCAGAAATCATATAAGTTAACGAAAAAACAAAAAATTTTTTTGGCTAAATCTTTGATGCAGTAAGGGATTTTTCGTTGGATTTACAAAGGAGAAAAATATCTATAATATTTATTTATATTTACACGGAAAGAACAATTTTGCTGAATCCAGATCTGAAAATAATTCTTGTTCAAAAATCAAAATAATTTTATGCGAAAGTCAAAGTGATTGCTAGAATATCAAAACATTTTACAGCAATGCTTATTATTTTTAACATTCCAATAAATTATTTTGATGATTTAACAAAAAATTATTTTCAGATCTGTTTTTAGCAAAATTTTTAGACCTTTCAACAAAATTGTTCTTTCCGTGTATCATTTTTCTGATTGATATTTATCATCTCTATTATCTCTTAATCAATCGCAATTGCGATACACGCTTAAAGGCTAAATCACACTAGCGATTGCCAATTGGATTGCGATAGTAATTAGCGATTTGCGATTACTTTTCAACCGCAATCAGAGCAAAGCAGTAGGTAACCGATTGAAATTAATATTAAATCATGATTGCCGTTTAGCTAACATTATATCTATTTATAATCGCAATCTAATCGACAATCGCTAGTGTGATTTGGCCCCTTTAGATCAGTATGTTCAGAGACAATTGTTTCGCAGCCGCGACAATTTTGCTCAATTCTTACTTTAAATAGACAAATCTCTTGTAATGCTCTTTAGGAGAGTAATTGATCATTTTTTAATGCTCCAGGACAAACGTAAAAGCACGTGGGAAACTTTGTTATAATCCACGACGACATGAGATTCTGCACGGAAAGAACAATTTTTTGCTGAATCCAGATCTGAAAATAATTTTTGTTCAAATAATTAAAATAATTTTGTGCAGCGAAAGTCAAAATGATTGCTAGAATATCACCAATGTTTTATAGCAATGCTTATCAGTTTTAACATCCCAACAAATTATTTTGACGATTCAACAAGAAATTATTTTCAGATCTGTTTACAGAAAAATTTTTTAGACCTTTCAACAAAATCGTTCCTTCCGTGCGCGCGAGAAAGAGGCGCTTAATGCATGCGTGGGTTTAATCGCCGTAATGCGGCGCGGTTCGTGAAATAGCGAAACGTACAGCGATAAGGACATTACGTCGGCGCCGGGTGTATTAATTTAAAATTCAATTCCCGCTAACGTGTCTTTTTGTTGCAGGAGACGAGATCCTCTACCGTGACGAGATAGGTAATTTGTTGATCTACAATGTCAGCTCGGCCGCATCCAAGATCCTGTTGGACTCCAGCAATCCCGTAAGTTTTCTTAAACTTCTGCTCGTCGTACGAAAGTTCTCGCGAGCGGTGAGGAGGAGGGGAAAGGGGGGGGGAGAGGGAGGGACTTCGAAGTTTGCATGAGATCCGGAAGAGCGCCCGTTCGTGAATTTCTATCTGTAATGAATCTCAGAATTATCAGCTATTTTACTCGGGTTATCACATTCCCATTTTCCTCTTCCCCCTCTCCGCTAATAATATTAAATATTGAACATAAGTTACAAATGAAACGCGATGAAACGTCATACCTACGTCAAATTAAGATTTATATTAAATTTATGCCGGAACACAAACAAGACTGATATTAATTAGGCATTAATTAAACGAAGAAAACAATGTACAATGTTAATTATACGCGTATCAATATGTCATTAGCATTAATAACGCAAAATATTAAACGTGTCACTGCAGCGGCCGTCATCACAGATAATCAATAATCGTATAGAGTTGTGTGTATACGCTCTAGCATGGTACACGAGCCAATCCGGAAAGGCGTATACATAAATATTTTTACGCGCGCGCGTTAACGTATGCGCAATTATTGTCGCATTAACGTGCGCGTGCGATTACATAGAAATCGCGGCATAAATATAGTCGGGGAGGAGGGGAGTACGAATTAATTGTTCGCCATCGCGGTGCCGCTCCTCACTTCCGAAATCGCACGATAACGACCAGAAATACAACCGGAAAGCACGCGGGCACGCATCCCTGCACATATATACGTGTCCCCTACTTCGCCCTCACCCTTCCCCCCCTTCCCCGATCTTCTTTCCCGCTCTAAATTCATATTCGTGCGTGATCAATTAAATCGCCCTGGCCTTTATACCCTCGCGAGCGCGCGTGTAAAAGAGGCGGAGGCGCCGCGCGGTTGCGGATCGAATGCGAAAACAGCGAAACGGGAAAGCGGAAATCGGAAAAGAGGGGGCCGAAATTATTTCCGCGGCGCGCGCTGAGGGGAAGAACCGGAGGAGAGACCGTAATGTAATGCACACACGCCGACGCACATGGCATGGCATCGGTCGAGCTATATATACGCGCGTACGTCCCCCGCGTCGTTACTCCCGCGACACCGCCGCCGAAGAGATCGGCCGGGGAACGGTAATTGCTTGTTATCTTTCACGTTCTGACGCGTGCAATCTATCGTCGACGATTCTCATTCGTGCGAGCCGCGTGCAGAGATATCCGGGCCGGCTACCGTTGTAAAATGATTCATTACGACATCTGTAATGCGATGCCTATCTCCGCGAAATTTAACAATGCGAGATGTCCCCTCCGAGGAAAGTCTTAAATGATGTATTTACGAAATTTATCGTTATGCACACGACTATTTGTCACTATTTTGCACTTTTGATGTATCGCGCGGCTGCGTTATTACTTCAATTCGGCCCTTCGTGAAATGGTCTTTATTGAAAATTTTTGACGCTGCTGTTTAAATGTTTTTCCAACGAAACTTAAAATTTACGAAAAGGCAATTTTACATACGGGCAGATAGAAGAAATTGTGTCGAATAGTTATATCACTTTTTATTACTCTTCGTAAACGAGTCCGTGCAGCGTTTTCCTTCATAAGTTTCAGAAATGATGGATAAGCGGTTTCTCCATTTTTTTTTTTTTTTTAAATAAAATCTCATCTCTCGTCAGGTGTCGTCATAATCAGCGAGAGCGGGATAAGCTGATTCTTTCAATTAAGTAAGCCGAGGAGGAGGGGGAAGGGGAAGCGCTAAAGAGAAATTGAAACGGCTAACCGACGCGACACTTTGAAACTTTATTTTTACCGTCGAACTTGCGTCCTTCTTTGAGTTCTCTCTCGAGTTAAATGAAGTCTTTCGTATTTGGTGCATTACTCGAAATCTTACGGGACTGTTTTGAATGCGCAAGTCCTTCTTGCAATGTCGACGGAGAGCAGCCTTATCGGAACGTTCTCCTTGTTAGCCTGAAAGCTATTAGGGAGTTTATGACCCGTGTATTTTCACTCACGTATATATATAATATATTGTTCTCGATATATATATATATATATATATATATATATATATATATATACCGAGATATATATACATACATATATATGTATCTTACGCGCGCACCCGTTTTTAATCCGCTCGGAAGAATTCGGTTAAATTGACCGTAACTTTGACGGGTATACTACGTGCAGCGGTGCCTCTGCGGAAGGCAGGCTCAACGCGATTGTCAAACGCGCGATTATCTGTGAAATTTAAATTGATTTTATTCGGTCTATATAGCTGGAGCCGTCTATAATATACCTGTATTTTTTCACGGTAATAACCGTCGTCTAATCCCGCTGGTATTGGCTGGTTTGGTTTCAGGACAAGGTGCAATGGCTGACGACCGAAATAACCACCGGGGCTTCGTCAGGCAGCCACACGGGGTAAGTGACGTTTTACGCCACGTTAATCGCCAAATAGATTGAGTCGCCGATTAGCGGTTGTGCGTCCTCGCGCAACCCGCGGAATTCGCGTAATTTTAGAAAAGCTGTGTATGCGCGCAGGTAGGCGGGGGGGAGCGGTAGGAAGGGAGAGGGGGCGAGAGACCGTGAGAGCGCGAGGCGAACGAGTTATATTTCTCGCGTGGTCGTCAAATCTCCACGACCACGTGGCCACACGGTTCGATCGTCCCTCCTGCGGGAGCGGTGAATTTTTAGATCCCGCCCGATCGGGAGAATGCATTCCACGCTCTGACATTGACCGCACCGGCTGCCGCCGCACTCGTCTCTCACGAGAGCAGCGGCTCTCATTTTCGTCCTCCACGTCCGCGCACCGATGGTATTCCTCCGTAAAACACGGCCGCGTGATGGTGCAGAGAGACAAGTGGGGGACATTCGATTTTCCGGAGTTTTCCCTGCAGTGAGTTTCGCGTCGACGACGCGGTTGAGAGAAGTTGCCAGTTGTCCGTGTGGTCCGTAGAGAAGCGAAGATAGTGAAGATCGTCACCACGTGACTATAGTCGTGAATCGTTGAGGGCTTGAGGGCCTAAATACACTGTTAAACCTATACACTGTTAAATCTATAGTGTCAAATTTAACCTTAGTTAAGTCGCCACTGCTCCTATTTAATAAATAGTTATTTTTAACTAAAACAATATGGTTAT